TGCACATTTAAATGTGTACCAGAAGAAGAAAAATAATAAAACAACAAAACAAAACAGAAAAAAATACGCCTTTTAAAACTGACTATAGTTGACCACTGCCCAGTGATATGACAACACTAAGTTCACACAAAAAATCAGAACAGTAAAATTCTGTTGAATTCTGTTCTGGAATCTCAAGTAAATTTGGAATTGGTCTTTGGTCATCTTTTGTTTCGTGCTTCAGTGAAAATGTTGCAGTGGTGCAAACATTTTTCAGTCTCCTTCCATAGTTCACCAAATGTACTATCACTTCTGTAGCTTTTTAAACTGTCTGTAAGGAAACCAACCAGATCTATTGCTCTAACCAGATTAAGACTTCTGGGTGGAGCATGTTAGACAGGATTTTTCACATCCCCAAACACTTTGCAAAAAAGTAAAGAAAAGTCCCATAAACTGTAGGTCAATTTTGGCGAAAACACCCTCTGCTTATATTTTCCTGTCTCCACTTTTCTTCTCTGGTGAAATGTCTTGCCAGATCCCCAAAACTGCTGGAATCCTGTCTCTCATAGTCCTAAATGCCATGTACCTGCAAGCCCTCCTAACATCTGAAATTTGCTGAAGTGAACTAGGCTTTTCAAGTGGGTTCATTTCTCATTGAACATCAAGCCACTTCATATGTTCAGCACAACCAGACATGAAAATAGTAACTGAAGTTATACTCATAGGTAGTACTAAGCACAAGCACTGTGGTGCAACGTCTCTCTTACTTTCTGTTAAAACTTTGATTAATTTAAGAACAATTAACGTACATACCAGCAAAGGAAATGCATTTCATTGATACTGTGCTCTGCTGTTGCGCTCTGTTTTGGAACTGTTTGGAGCATGAAGGACTGCATGTCAGCTTAACCAATGAAAGTGTAGCAGAATATGTTGCGTGAAGATGTATTCAAGTCCACTGGGAAATTTGACAGCTTTTTTGCCAATGTCCGTAAAATTCAAACAATGTAATGTTTTCAGCAGGTTAGCAACAGGAGTGGCAAGAAATAACTGCCACCCCAACTAACCCTCTGGCTCTGCCACTGCAGGGTCACCTTTGAGCCTCTATTGATTACTAGCTGAAGTTCTCAGGTGAATAGCTGGAAGCAGGATTCATTGACACTGCCACAGAGGTGAGATCACCTCTAAAAAGCAGCAAAGTACTGCTGATCTATCCCAAAACAGCCAAAGGCAAAATCTAAGGATCAGTCTGTGGAGTAATCAGGAAATTAAAAATGTTTTCTCTAGATACATAAATACAACAAAACAACTTTAAATATTCAGAATTGTGTCATAAATGTATTAACTTGTAGGCCTATATATTTGAAGGCAGTTCCCCCAATAATTAAGGAGAAGCTCACTGTATTCTCCAATAAGCTGATCATTCACTGCTTGTAGGTCTAAGCCACCCGTAGCAGGTAATCTCTTTCGAAACTGAAGGGGCTCAGAAAGGCTAAGCCTGGACAACAATAAGGGGCATCCACAGCATTGCTTGTGCTCCAGACAAAACCCATAAAATCGAGCAACAGAGAGAGATTTTCTACTTGTATTGACTTGAAATGTGCCTTTGTGTCCCTCTTTATCCATAACTGGTACATGAAAATGAAAGGCCAATCTTTATCTTATCTGCCTGCAACAAACTATTCCTTAACCCACGCAGGTGCTTTGCTTGTTTTCATTGTGTTTCTGTTTTTTAGTTTGCGTAGTGCAGAGGTCCGACGCATGTGTAGACTTGTTTTGATGGATCACACAACAAGAGGGATACTATCGTCATTCTGAGGTAACATGCATCAAAACATAAACACCCTGCTGTAAAAAGAGTTATGCATTTTTGTCACAAATTACAGGGGAGTTAAAAAAATCAGATGTAATATTCCAAACTATACCTATGTTTTAAAGAAAAAAAAAGGGGCTAAAGTACCAATAAAATGTCAGACTTCTAATTGATTAAGACTGGCACTATGTCATTTTTGTCTTTAGTGTCTGTTTCCGCTCAGTACCCTCTCACTATGTTAGTCTTGCCAAAACTCTGTTACCAATCAGTCCTAAATATCTCACCTGTGCCGAGAACTACATAAGTCCTTCCAAATCCTTGTCTCTCTTTTAAATTATCCATAACCTTATGCCAGTAAATGTCCAGTGATCTGTCCTTACTCTTGTTTGTGTTTAAGCTGCTGTCCAAGATAATATTTTTGGATCGTTGCCCTGGACTGACTTTCACCGGCTTCTGGATATCTGGACATCAAAACATGCACTGCTTTTTAAACTGTATCAACACTGTGAGACTATCTAATCCTGTTGTAAAGTGGTTCTGATCTCTCACTGTGTGTTTGATCACTGATTATTTACTGATCAGGTGTCTGAGTTATAGGAATGGGCCTGCATCCATTACTGACAGTTATAATTGGCAGAATCTGTTAAGCTACTGGAATGGCAGACTGAATAGGAAAGGAAATACTTTAAAACTGCAGTGTCATTGTGTGGACACAAACAGGATGTCAATGTTTTATAATTGCCGCTTCTTCTTTTTTGGCAAAGCCATCTTGTTTTAAATCAGCAAACCCTTAGGGTCAAAGTTTTTATGATAGAAAACTTGGAAATGATCAACAAATGGCCAGTTAATGGAAATTAATAAATCACTCCGTAAATATCTTTTAAATCATTTCAGTTAGTTTTATTCATGTCTTGCAGTGGGACATCTGGTGGTAAGGTTTCACTTTACAACCAAATGAGCGACTATGGACGGGGCTCTCTTCCACAAAAGAGTCTGAAATAATATCTAAAAATGACATTTTGCAACAGAGCCTTGTTTTAAAGCATTGTAATCAGTTAAGATTAGTGGTTTTAAAATTTAATAGAGTTACAGAAAAAAAAATATGCAGAAAAATAAAGTATCAGAAAGGAAAATTTAAGTAAATTATCAGTTCTTTAATTAAAAATGCTTTATGTATTTTTAATCACAATTTTTTCATTCCATTTAAATAATATTTTAATGTTAAGGTCAATGGAGGTTGTTTTTACAGTGTCCCAAATGTATTCTTGATTTATACAGGGCCGTAGCAAGGATGATATGGGCCCTCAGTCTAGATGGTGCCTTACCACACCTTGTCACAAGTTTTTTTTTTCCACTCCAGAATGTGAAAATCAAATGGACTAAAAGCAAAGAAGTGGTGCCCTTATTATGACCAGTCATGTTAATTTTAAATTGGATTTCTTCACATAAATCAATTTTCTAAGGAAAAAGTTAAGATTAAAAAAAATCCCAGCACACCCTAATAATGGAACCCTCCTGACAGCTAGTGATACCTTTAATATAATTATCCATCTGTCAGTCTGTTTGTTAATTTGTCTTAAAGCTGAACTAAATAAGACTTTTACCTTGATATATCTCAACTAATTCCCCATGGTAACCTAGGTGTATAAAAGATGATCTAATGTTGTGTTATCTCCCCCTACTGGCATTGGTTATAAAAACACACTTTCAGATTTCTGTGCAACCGACCTGGTGGCAGTTTTGCACGTCAGTTCTTGTTCTTGTGGCTCTGCTCTTGTTCTTGATGTATGGCAGCATGATGTAAGGCTATTGGCATCAATACCCATACTCATTGTGCTGCATTACACACAGGTTTTTCGATAACAGCTAAACAAAACAAAAACTAAATAATTTTTTTTTTCAGAGGAAAAAAACAAAGAAAAAAAGAGTATCGGATCAGGACAAGGCTCATTGAATATGGTCAAGATGTTTACTCTGCTGTAAGACCCCAAACAAAATCAAGGATCCATGATGTAGACCTGAACTTGTAAGTATCATATCTACTAACCTCGCGTTACTATTGTGACTTTAGAGTGATTGATTTTGTCACTGTAAAACATGGAAAGCCTGAGAAAAAATACGGTTTACTCCAAAGGTAGACTTGCACTTACCTGACTTACTGTAACTGACGATTTGCAGAAAAAAGGATACCCTCTATGCACTGGCTTGAATTAGATGATGTACAATACAACCCACCCTCAGACATTTGGTGAAAGGCGTCTTCCAGCTCCCCATAGAGTCACAGCAATGCATTTGTGTTGGTTGCATTGCTGGCAAAGGGTCAGTATTTACAGCTGTGCTATCTGCAAAAGACCCAGTGTGAATTGAAAGGGACTTAGTGCTGATTTAACATCTCATATGCCTAAACTGTTACCCACAGAGCTGGAGGTTCCAGTATACAAACTATTAATAACAATTAATAATGAATTAATAATTTATAAAATCGAGTGAATATTTACTTCCTTCTTAAGTTACCATGGATGGACATAACCTGATGCCCTTTATCAGGACATGTCCATTATCACCAATAAATGGAGGAAATTTAATTATATATATATATGTGTATATATATATATGTGTATATATATATATATATATGTGTATATATATATATATATATATATATATATATATATATATATATATATATATATATATATATATATATATATATATATATATATATATATATATATATATATATATATATATATATATACATATACACACATCTTGGTTTGTTTTAGCTGCAGGTAAAATTCATTGCCATCTAGCTGCATAAAGGCAATTATGATCAAATGCATTTTGAAAGTTACAATTTTATTCATGAAAAAAAAAACTATTTTCATAGCGGATCAGGAAGGGGAGGTGGGGGGTTATCCAAGGTGTTTGAGAAAGATGAAGAAGGTGGGGTGAGGGGAGGGAGGAGGAGGGCAAATTGGGCGGACACATAAAAACTGTAGGGAGCGTAGATGTAGGATCATTTGGAGAGTCTGCTCGTCCTTTACGCACCGACTGTTCTGGAGACGGACAGGAAACCCAACTGCAGAGTCAGAGAGATGGCCTTAAGTCTTTCCTGAAGGATAAATGTGCTAAAAAAAAGGCACCCGATTTTCCTCCATGTCTTAAATTTTGTGCGCCTTTTTGTGTGTGTGTGTGTGTGTGTGTGTGTGTGTGTGTGTGTGTGTGTTTGTTTGTTTTCGGCGGAACGCCTGGACTGTTTTGAGACACCTTTTCTATTTCCATAGGAGGATACCTGCATCATTTACTGATGGTAAGCTCTCATCAGCTGACACGCTCACACTTTACAGATTTGACAAACAAGAAGGGGCTTTAGACCATTTAGGGAACCATTATGGGAATTTATATGTGGCGGAAAGTCTGAGAAGATTTACGCGATATACAAATGAAAACGACTTTCTGCGAACTTTAAGGATCGCTGCGTTAAAGCGCAGATAACATGCAACAGGTTTCTGCTGGTTTCTGCGCGGAGACTTGTGTAATGACAAAACCATGATAGTGAGGTCATTTCGAAACAAAACTATTTCCCTGCGCTTGGTTTGCTTCCGATCTGCTTAAATATTCCCCCTTATTTAATAGAAAGAAAGAAAAAAAAAGAAAACATACACCCGCCTCCCCCAAATGTGTCCAAATGCGTCCCCCAAATGAGTTCTAGGAAGGGCTTGGAATTACGGTCAAAAATAAGCTTTGATTCAAAAGTAAAAAAAAAAAAAAAAAGTTTTAAATGTACAAATTTAATCATCTCAGCAACGATGGGGCATTTAATCTGGCTGACTTTCAAAACATAACAGGGTTTCAAAAGATAACTTTGGTATAAAATTAGGGACATGATTTTGGTGCAAAAATGTGACTTAAAATACATTGTTTACATAAATGCATGCAAGTTCAAGTTAATTAAAAAAAAATCACTTAGAAAAAGTAATAAAAGCAATTGCGGCCTATCATGAGGTCCTCAAAATAGATAAAAGGGGATATCAGTAGGATTCAATTTAAAATATTTTACCATATGCCTTCAGCAATTTCATGGATTTGAAATGTTTAAACCTGTAGATGGAAAAAATAAACATTAAACGATTATTTCTTATTTTGTAATTTAAATGATAAATATCTGTGGTAAAGTTTGATCAAAATCAATTTGCATCTGTTGTTTCAATCCCCTTCCCTCAGGATTTAAATTAAAGGACTACAAGAGCATAATCAGTAAGTAAAAAAAAGGCAAAAAGCCAGAGATCAAAATTGAAAATCTATTTATTTTTCTATACACCCAAACGTAGGAACCCATACACACTATTGTGAGATTAATTAAGCTATTTTAAAAAGTTGGGGTCTCAAGCTATTATGCTTTTATTGGACCTAGGCCTCTAAAGCCCTTGTCTTTTGTTGGCTTCAAAACAGCTAACAGTATTGAAGAACCTGTGGGACATGTTATAATCATTGCTAAATTAATTAAAATGCATTTACATACATTAAAGAGAAGCAAATTACCAACATGGAAAACCATAATCAGATTAAAGTTCAGTTTTTAATGATATAGTTTCTTTTATATGTCCTGCAACTCTTCAATGTATTTAGTTGCATATAAAGCCATAATAGTTCTTCCAAAATTAGATCCTGTATTTACAACAGACATGCTGCTGCAGACATCTTTAATTATAAAATCAGGTCATAGATCTGTTCCCGTGGCAACTTGTTGCACTATTCTCTCCCCCTCTGCCTTGCTCCCGTCTTCCCTCCCACCATCCCTGTCAAATTCCTCAGGAAACACATCTGAAGAGCCATGTGCATAGTCTGATCACAGTATCTTTGGTCAGAGAGAGAGGGCGGGAGAGGCAAAAGAAGGGCCGAGCTCGGCCAAGGGCAGTATACCACCACCTCTGCATTATTCACTGCAGAAAAACTCTACCTGCTGCTTGGTCTTAAGCGTTTTTTATGCATAGCTGCTTTAGTAAAGTTTTTGATTAAGAGGAGTTAGGAAGAGGTAGGTTAAGCCTCCAAATGTTTTCCTTTTTTTCTACTATGCTAGCAAACTTTAACATGCTTAAGTTTTTTTCTTTTATTTCAAGGTTTTTGCACAAGTTCTATTTATTCATATCATTATTCCTTTCATCATCATCACACCACTTTGAATTGCTGTCTGCTGTAGCCTACAGCTTTTTCATTGGCTGGTTACAGTTACAAGATGTTCTGTATGGTCACTGTTTTTCACTGCTATGAATCCCTGTAATCATGGGAGAGGCCCTCTGTGTACAATGAACGTTTGTTGTCAAAGATGTGCACTCACTTATTCTCTCTCTCACACACACAAACACACACAGACGCGTTTATCCCAGCACCCCATGGGTAATAGAGCTGATCATGTTCTGACCCTCCTCTCTCTCACTTCGCCGCAGTTCTCACGAATATGCGAGCGGCGGCACACATTTAGTGCAAAAGCTTAGACAGAACGTGCATGCGCACTCGATGCATCTCAGTCTTTTTTTTGTGTGTGTTTTATTTTTTTCACCACACATTTGGATCCAGTGTCATGACCAAGAAAGAAAGGTCTCACTGAGGTCAGCCTAATGCCATTAGTAGGAAAAAAAAAATCCTTGATTGCATGTACAGTGAGCCATGGAAGAGTTGAGATAATCGCGGAGATACCAAACCAGGAACAGGCGCACACTGGGACACACACTATTTGTCATAAATACAGAAGGCTTCTTGGAGAAAACAATGATATGCAGAAGTTTTCTAAACCCTTAAACTAGTGTGTTTTACATTTTACACATCACTATCACAAAATCTCATGTATTTTACTTAAAATTATGTAAAAGGCCAATGCTTTACAAAGAATGGGAATCCTTTAACTAAGATACCATAAACAAAAGTTGTGTGGACTGGGCTGAGCTTAAATATTTAATCCAAATGGAGGTGTTCTACAAAGGCCTCAGAGATTTTTTTTTGACATTTTGCTAAGTTATTTAACAATAACCCAAGCCTTGGTTACCTCGCCATGCATTAGTCACTCCATCATCCAGATTGAAAAAGATCATGTATTAACAGCAAACTACCAAGACATGGCTGCCCATTAAGGCCGATAGCCTCTTGAGGAGCTTCGGGAGCTCCAAAACTCAATGTCAGTTGATAGAATTAGCAGACAGGAAAAAGTGACGCGATTCAGAAACCTGGCATGTTGGGGTAAAAGTAAATATATGGCAGAAGATGTTCTGGCAAGACAAAAGGCTACAGGAAAAATTGCTGGTTGTAAAATGATATCAGAGTGAATACAAAAAAAACAATGATGATGGCAGCATGATGCTGTGGGGAAGCTTTAAGAAGCTTGTTAGAGTTGAAAGGTGTTTCATTAAACTATTTCCCCTATAAGGTTGAATGCAAACCCTTGACATGTTTTACAGATTCAAAAGGTTTCTTATTCATCTTTAAAGGTATCCACTACTTTGTGTACGTGTATTACAAAAAGTTTAAAAATCTTTAAGCCATGTCATTAGTTTTCCAAGGTGATACTAGCTGTTCTGTTATGGGCTGAAAGAACACCAGCAGTTTAATGAAGAGTTTTCATTCACAAAATTTATACTTTTAAAAGTATGACTCAGCAGCAGTCAATACTTGACATAACGTATTAAAGCATATTCTATTGTTTTGTGTAGATGAAGTAGTTCTGCGTTATTCCATCTTTCGCCTGCACATGAGGTCGTTTTTGAACCGTGCCTGTTTGCTGTCTGTGTTGAGGTTAAAACATTAGCGATCTGCTGTCTGTTTTGTGGCACATACCTCCTTACATTCCAGTTGCAGCAAATAGCTAGCTTACCCACAACCCAAAATGATAAGCCTTAAAGAGACACTGGGTCTCTCTGCTACCCGCCCAGACACACACACAAACATACGCACTCACATACATTCTCATGTGCTGGTCTTCAAGTAAATACCATGTAACAACCTCAAGTGTTTGCAGCCGCGCTCAGTTTATAACCACCCCCTCCCTGTGTGTTTTTTGACTGTATCTTTCAGGAACAGGGTCACTCCAACGCCCTGTTGCAGCCTCCCAACACCACCTAACATTTCCTGGAAGAACGTGTCCAATGCGTGCTCCCAAGAAACATGGACTGTTTTCCCATGCTTTCTTTTCTGTCGGTGAGTATGGAGACAGTGCCTCTTCAGCTTTGTCCTACAGCTTGAAAAATTTTAGAAATTTAAGAAAACTGTTTTTTTTTTCTGTCGCATTGGTCAAGAAATGAAAGGTGTTGGGATGGGCCTGTGAAGGATAAAGAGTGGTGTGTTTAAAAGTAATGCATACATCAAGAAAGCACAAAGATTTGCTCCATAAGTTGAACATTTGCTATAACCCCAGGGCTGCCTCTTTAACTTGTGCAATTGAAGTGCAGGAGACAAGTGGAAGGGGTGGAGGGAAAGGAATTGCATTGAAAATGCTGGTGTGTGGCTGTTTACATTTGGAGGATGTCACAAAAGATAAACAAAAAGCAGTCTATCTGATGGTAGTCCACTTTACTGTAAACATGACTGCATTATTGAAGGTAATTAGTCTGCATTTAGAGGGGATGGGTAAATAGGGGAGGGGGGTGTACATTGAGAAAAAGGAAAGAGAAATCCTTCTTCCTTATTATGTCCTCTGGCCCATCTGCTCAGGTCAGACCATTTCTAATCTCTTATCATCCATCTGCCACCCCTGCCAGAGACATCATGATTCCTGGTAATCGAATGCTGATGGTCATTTTATTATGCCAAGTCCTGCTGGGAGAGAGCAACCATGCTAGTCTGATACCTGAAGAAGGGAAGAAGAAAATACCTGGCCTGCAGGGTCGTTCGGACACTCAGAGTCATGAACTGTTGCGCGACTTTGAGGCCACGCTGCTGCACATGTTCGGCCTCAAGAGGCGGCCACGGCCCAGTCGCTCGGTCACCGTGCCCCGCTACCTGCTGGACCTCTATCGGCTGCAGTCGGGGGAGGCCGAGGAGGCCGGAGTGCACAACATTGACTTTGAGTACCCGGAGAGGTCAGCCAGTCGAGCCAACACTGTGAGGGCCTTCCACCATGAAGGTAAGAAAAACAATGAAAGCTTCCACAACAATTAATCTAAAACAGAAATATATATAATATGACATAAATATATATGCTGGGGTAGAGATTAATAGAAGATCAGCTTTAGTAGAAGTAACATGCTTTACCATGGCAGGAGATTGCAGAGAATTTAGAGTAAGACAAAAAAATGCAAGATTGCTCCACCCATCTCGCCATGACCAAAGAATCTAAGGATGTGGTCACCAAGCACAGTCTACAGAGAGTCATAAAATTCAGCTAGACAAGCTCCCAAGAGTCTAATTTGACAGAGCTCTGTGTGTTTGGTTTGTAACTGAAGGAAAAGGCATACCTTCATATTACTGACCTACACTTCATGCTCCACCCAGCAGAAGAGGGTTTTAAAAAAGTCTGTTCTTGGCTTGGAAAACCGAGCGCACTCCTCTCTCATGTCCCCAATCTAGCTAGAGGGCTCTTTAAGAAAGATCGTCCTCGCCATGCAATTATCTTTAATGCTACTCCGCAACCTTCTAAATAAAGGCCTGGCTGCAAACAATGTAGGTGCTGAGAGAAAAATGCTGCAGTTCTTATGACCGAGGCGAAACCAGTCCTAGGATGCTTTAGGGTGCAAAGATGTGACGATTAGACGGCTTAAAAGAGTCCAGCTTAACAGATTTCAGAAGGATGTGCAGGTAGAATAAAAATGTTATATATAAATCTTTTGTTAGGAAGAAAAAGATTGTTTAAAAGAAGTGAGAAATCTATTAAGGCAGAAGAATTATTTTTCCCTTCATTAATTTAATAATTTGCCTTGTAAAACACACTGTGGGTTGCTGCCTTCCCCGTGTGTCCCAAAATCAGAGAGGCACACTGAGACTGATCAAAAGATGACTTAAGTCATCAAAAACAGTTATTTCTACTGCTCCTAAAATTATTTTATGTAATAATTATTCAAACGTCTTATAATAATTTTTCTGATAACCAAATATTGCAGTTTGATTTGTATATCCTTTTCTAATTTGAAGTTATTATTGTGCAGAATATTATCCGTTCTTCTGCTCTAGAGTAGTACATGTATAAGAAACTGATTTTTCCTGTAGAACTAGTGAGGTTGTCTGCTGCAGTAGATATGCCACCTGTGACTTCTTAACTGCAGCTTCAAAGCAGTGTTTTCCTGTTACTACTATAGTAATTTGAATGCTGTAAAAACCTTGAATAACAATACCTAACGTTACACAGTACTTATATATCATTACTGTTATATCATTAATATCTATGACAATGACCTACTTATTGTTTTAATGTCTATACAGAGATCTGGTTAAACAAACAGAATTTGCCCAGATTTGTGCAGAACATTAAACCTTTTTTTTTTTTTTTCTCATTAGTTGTTAAGATTCACTGAGAGTGTAACAAGATTTGATTAATCATCCGTTCTATTCCTGTAGCCAATCAACAATCAGTTTTCTAAAACTTTGATTAGACCATTCTGGTTTTCTGCAATATCTTGCTCTAAAGGTATATTGCAATATTAATACGATCGATAAAAGGAAATTACAGTGGTCTGATAATTTTTACATAACTTTGTTGACAGCTGTTTCCATCTGTGATTGTAAGTTTATTTTTCTTGGTATTTTTAAAGTTGCATATAAAATGTTGACATAAATGACAATAGTACCGTATTATATTGTATATTTCCTGAATATTTCCTATTGCATCCTTTTTTTACTGGGCCTGTTAACTTTGGAAATATTTAGAAATTATAATCAGTGGTCAAACAAAAGGGTCTCTTGGTAGATACTACTTATTGGAGATAAAAAAAAAAAAAAATGAATTTTCATACAGTGCATCACCATTGGCAGTCACAGCAAAATTAATTGATGTATGATAAATAAAAAAACGCCCCCAACAAAGACAGCTCCTTTTGGTACCCTTAAAGGCCAACACAGTGGTGGCACCATCATGCTAAGGTTCTGTTTGCTCTAAATGTTACTACTCAGTGAATGACTGAAAATAAAAATTATATAAAATGGTAAAGAGACAAAATATCAGCACCATTCCTTGTTTATTTAATTTCTCCAAAATGTATGTCTTCCTCCCTATCTTATAAATTAGTCTAAAAATGTTTGTGAAACTAGTTATTAAACACAAAAAAAGCCAAAACATGACAAGGATTTTATTACAATGAAATGAATCATGTTAACTTATGAATATTCGAACTTGTGCACGGGTCTGTGCATCTTTCTACAAGCATATAACCTCACCTCCTTTGCTGAACTATCTTAATAACACGCTTTAAAGCATTTGAAGTGGGAGTGCTCGCTTTCATGGAAGCACGTTTGTGTGATAGTCTGACTCAGTCCACTCCAAACCACAGGGAGGTAGAAGAGTCTGCAGCAGATGGATGGTTAGATGAGGAGACATGTTTACAGGAAAGGCAAAGTATTCATTGTGGATTTCAGCCTGGAAAATTATGATTTTTATTGACCAGGTGTAATGGAAAAAAAGAAATCCTTTTTTTCTGTAAAGCTATAAAGCAGACAAGACACGAGAAGTGTGTGTAAGCATGGAAAAAAGCCTGAATATCCTTTGGATAAGAACGCACAGTATTCCCACGCAGTACCCTCCTTCCCATGGGCTTTGGATATATGAGAGTCTACTGTATTGTCTGACTCCGATTATTCATGATGAAAATGATAAATGTCTTAAGTGGACAAACAGCAGAGGCAATCAAAAGCACAGCAGGTTTCAATAATGAGAACCACCTGGGCCAGATTAGGGCCTGGGTGTGAAATAACAGGGGTGGATTGAGCAGGAAAATAGTAGACACAACATTCCTTTCCCCAACAATGGTGATCTTGCCAGAAATCTGCAGACTGTGAGTGGAACAGGGAGCCTCTACTGTGTTTATGCTGTAGCTGTGGTACGTTAATCACCACCCTCCTTGTAATGCATGTTTCTGCAAAGTGCCCCAAGAAAGGCACTGAGAGAAGGGCAGGGTAATTGTAAAAGAAAGGTAAAGAAATGTACTCATAATTTTTACTACCGTCGAGGCCTTGAAATACATGACAGTAGAGTGATATGAATTGACAATTCATAGAGATAAGAATGAATGATCTTAAGAGATACTTCTACATATGTACCTTATTTAATTTATCCTTTTGAACATTAGCAAACATCCCATACTTTTTCTCTTCCTTGTTTTCAGAGCACATGGAGAAGATCCATGAGCTGGGTGATGGAGAATCCATGCCTGTGCGCTTCCTGTTCAACCTCAGCAGCATTCCAGAGGATGAACTGCTTTCCTCTGCAGAGCTAAGACTCTACCGTAGTCAGATTAATGAGGCCACTGCTGATGACCAGAGCCTGCACCGCATAAACATCTATGAGGTCCTGAAACCCCCACGGCCTGGGCAGCTCATCACCCAGCTTCTGGACACACGGCTCGTCCGGCACAACGCGTCCCGCTGGGAGAGCTTTGATGTCAGCCCCGCCATCTTGCGCTGGACTCGTGAGGGCCTCCCTAATTATGGACTGGCTGTGGAGGTTCTGCATCTCAACAAGACCCCGCGCCACCAGGGCCGACATGTTCGCGTTAGTCGCTCGGTTGAACAGGAGCCTGGAGAGGACTGGGAGCAGCTACGCCCTCTTTTGGTCACTTTTGGTCATGACGGGAAGGGTCACCCACTGACCCGGCGGACCAAGCGCAGTCCCAAACAACGGGGCCGCAAAGGCAGGCGCAACTGCCGGCGCCATGCACTGTACGTAGACTTCAGTGATGTAAACTGGAATGACTGGATAGTGGCACCACCCGGGTACCAGGCGTATTACTGCCATGGGGAGTGCCCCTTCCCACTGGCAGATCATTTAAACTCCACCAACCACGCCATTGTTCAGACACTGGTGAACTCTGTGAATAACAATATTCCCAAGGCTTGCTGCGTACCAACAGAGCTCAGCGCCATCTCAATGCTCTATCTGGATGAACATGACAAGGTGGTCCTGAGAAACTACCAGGAAATGGTAGTGGAGGGCTGTGGCTGCCGCTAGTACGCAAATTTGCAAAATCCTGGGCTTAGAACTCAGCCTACAGCAAAGCAGCATGGACACTACAGCAAATCAGAAGGTCTTTTTCCCAAAAAATGCTCACTTGGACCCTTATTTATAACTTTTATGAGGTGTATGTTTGTCTCACTTTTCTTTTTTTTTTTGACAATATGATCATATATTTTGACAAAATATATATATATATATATATTTATATCTACATATTAAAATAAATTGAGTCCTTCTTTTAAACATAAAGAAATTGTTTATCCTAATGTACATTGAATTGTATACATTTTTATTTTGTTTTTCTTCAGAAACTAATAATGGTAAAAAAGTAAAAAAAAAAAAAACGCAAAAAACTATTAGTTTGCTGGTAAATTTATTGCTTGCAAAAGTTACATGCGTCTTTCACCTGAAGTAATATGACCAAAAATTTCATTTTTAAACATTTCAAGGTATAAATTGACTATTATAAACTAGTGAAAAACGAATTCAGTTAACATCACTATGTTCATCTTAGGCTCAACTTAAAGTCATTGAAATAAAGTTGACAACAAAAATGCTGTCAATCTCTATCAATTTTGTGAAATGAACCTTGACTTTAGAGTTAAATTTAATTATTTTATGATCTGTTTTTGAAAAAACTAAGAGAGCTGGTCACAAGAAAACTTTCCAACTCCTAAGGATGCCCGGCTGGCCTGGGAGTCCTAAGGCTATACTTGAATTTAGATTTACAAATGCGCCAGCTGTTCACATTTAGAAACCTTTGGAGTTTGAAAGTTGTGTTAACAGTCAGCTTTTTGATCTAAATGTAATCTCATCCTCTGCTAGCATCTTAGCTGTAACTCTGCCCCAAAATGGAATTCTCCCTGGGGCCTCCTCCAGCTTTGGACGGCTCTGTATAGACATGACCTATATTCACAGAAAAGGAAGCCTTGATTATGTGATACCAGCAATAAATAATTTTAAAATAAACTTAATTTCTACACAATTTTCATTTATTTTTCTTTTATGTATCTTTTTTTCTAGTGCTGGGGCTCTTGCATGGTGTTTTTGAAGGGGTTCTCAAAGCTAGTGGGTCTTTATTTTATTGGGCTTTGTTGTTCTCAAATTTCACTTTTAAGTCAATTAGAATAACATGTTGTGGATGTGACACTTGTTAATCCCATGCCAGTCGGGTTGTATTCTTCAGCCTCACTGGTTATTCTATTGTTCCTGACATCCCCACATCATGAGGCATGATTGTGTCTGATGCCCTGATACAAGGCGGCTGAGTCCTCAGAAGAATCAAAGGTTAGACGCTCTGTCTCCTGCTTTTGTCTTCCATGGCTCATACCAGCAGAGCAAAGACGCCTGTCTCCAACCTGTGCCCCATCAGACAAAAGGCTTCTCCATCACTTATTTACGAGCAGACGACTGGCCCAGTACATATAATGTTTTCAGAGAAAGACCTTAAACTTTAAAAGTCCCTCAAGACATTGGCTTGCAAATTCTGCTAGAGAGTAGCCATCTATACATCCAAGTGCAAATCAAAATTTGGATGAAAACAAGAATGATAATATAGTAAATCATTTAAAAGGTGTAGTTTTATAGTTTTAAACATCTTTATTTGGTAGAGTTTAGTTAAACCAAAATACTGATAATTAGAAAGTACTCAAAAGGTGAGTCCCATTAATCCCAAAAAATGAGTTGTTCTATGGATGTGAGCTTTAAAATGGAACTACAACATACAGAGACTCTGGAAGTTGGACGATGGATAAACTGAGTCAGAACACATGTAGGATATGCTAAATGATGTGCTCAGTGATCAGCAGTGAGAAGCTAAAATAGCTTCTTTTATGAGGGTCTAGCTGACTGCAATAAGCCATATGAGCTAGCAGCAGTATATGTTTTACATTTTATGTAGTGTATTCCAAAAATAAATGATGCATTATGTGTGGGGAAGATGTAGTAAGATTTAAAAAACTGTCAAAAGTGCAAATAAGATGTTCATTGCTGCAGAACTAATGTTGGCATTTGCTGGTTGAATATTTTTGTTTGGGGATTTGGACAAATGTTTTTTTTTCATGACTTCTAACCTAACAATGACCAGAGAGTTCTCTGAGATTTAAAGAAAAAAATGTAGAGCTCTCAGCCATAGTATTTTATAGAGTTTGGGATGGTTCTATACCCTCATATTCAGAGGTGTTGAAGGAGAAAAGACCCACGTTATCAAAGATCCTTTAAAAAAACAGCTTTTCCATGTATTCATCCTTTTTTTCCCCACACCAAACCAACCTGGAAGGGCTTTCTTAATCAAATTCAGGATCGTGTTTATTGCCAATAGGTTTGCACTTACAAGGAGTTTGAATTGGTGTTGATGGTGCAGGCAAAATAGATATAGATACTCCAGAAAAGATTCATCTTCATGTCGATATTGCTATGTTTCTAAGACTAAAACGCAATGAAAAGTTTTAAATATCTGATGTTTCATAATTCTCGAACCTTCTATATATTTTTAAGGGAACTTTCTTTCTAATCTGTACTTGAAAGTATCAACCTTTGAACAAAAATTTAATGCACAAGCATCAAGATGAACTCAAACATACCATTATGGGTTTAAATTACAATAAAGTGAAAGGATGCCATATTTTACCATTTTAAAATTTCGTGGCAGTGCAACGGTAGGACGAAACCTTATTTTCTTCTACTAAGGTAGTTCTCGTTTTAAAGGTCGAGAACCACAGTTTTAGTTTATGTAATTGAAAAATTGTGGGATACTAGTACCGGGCTTTGGCCAGTGGACAGCTCATGTGAGGTTGCTTTTTTATTAAACAATCACATAAGTTTGTTTTTTATCCTGCTCAAGCATGCTCAGCCGCCCCAGGCCAACTAATTGCCCCTCTAGTTCTCTTTGATGCCTGCATATCAGCATCAAAAAGAAGGGGCTCTTAAATAAAGGGCAGGCAGAAGAATTTCATCTTGAAGTGGTTGAAGACAGAGGGGCTGGGTTGTGGGACGATATTTTGCTTCTTTTTTTGTCTACTTCCTTGGCTATAAAATTTCAACTGATCTATACTCAGGTTTTGCAAGAGTTTGCCATTTATGGTAGCAGTCCTTCATTATGATGCATACAAAGGGGATATGGTGGTTTATTGTACCACCTGGGAAGTAATATTTATAACTACAAAACCACCTCTAAATCTGGTTTTTAGTTTACTAGCTGTTTCAAGATAAGTTGTTAAAGTTTAGGGATTGTGCAGGAAATCCATGTAATCCTTTAAATGTTCTTGAGATATTCAGGAAATCAAGGAGCGTGACTGAGTGTGACCATGTGGGCAGATAAACAGGGAGAGGGGGTCAATTACAGAATGACTCTTATAAACAGATTGAGGGCTTTGTCATTCCAATGTGATGTGCCACTCAGTCTCCTGCAGAAACTTGTTCTCACGCAATTACAGGTGAGTCATTAGGCAGCGGGTCTATTGACACTGCTGGCCTAAGTATTGGGCTGAAGTCTTCAAAAAGGCTTTTTACTCTGACATTCCATCGTAAAGTAGAAGGAGAGTGTTTACAGACAGTAAAACCACCTCAGAAGAACAAAGGAGGACAAGTTCCAGTCGCATGGCTTTGTTTTAGTGGGAGAGCTGGAAGGCTCTGTTGTGGAAATGTGTCTTTTATTTCTAGAAGTCACAAGATGTTGGAAATTTAATTGCGCATTTCATTGCATGCGCCTCCAAATCAGACTTCGAAAAAGTCACATGACTTTTACTGATAAGGATCGCTATAACTAGTCAGCAGTGGAATGCCATACATTGTAAATATAAGAAAACTACTTTTAGCATAAAGTTGATGAAAAGTTTTTTTCTGTTAATTTTTTCACAATTTTAAAATAATTTCTGCCCCATTATTTGTCTTTACCAGCCTGCATAATGAATTGGAATCTTGACGGAGCAATGTTAGACTGAGCCAATCCTGTTAAAATATTATCGAAACATCTAAACCAGATTCACATTTTCTATGAGTGAAAATTGGCGCTGGTGATGCTAATTTAAATATCAACATAGATATTTTTTTTTATAGATATTTATATAGAATGTTTTTTTTGTGGTTAAAATAAAGAACTTAATTTCTACTTTTGGGTTTTGTAACACCTGCACACACACAAAATAATCACAAATACAAAATAAAAAAAGCAGTAAATAACTTAAGATATAGAAAAATATTATTTAAAACATTAACAATCTGTTGTAAAAATCTTTGAACTCCAGAGGTACCTCATTCTTGTTACTAAAGAACAACAGCAATAAATGACGCATTAATGAAAGAGAATATGGCAATGTAGCACATCAAATTAAACTGTAGAAATCTAGGCTACAAGCCAGCACAGATCTTTTAAAACATGTTAAACACAAATAAAACGATATGCAAATAAAATAAAAGATGTAAAATGTAAAAACACACCACAATAGCAATCCATGAACAACATTTCTGTCTCCACTGAGAAATGTGCTTAGCTTTCCTCTACACCAAAGCATTGCAGAGATACAAGACAATAAACAGCAACAGGCACAGCTAGGGCGGAAAGTAATTTAAAAAATATCTCTTATCTTTGCTCTTTCACCAAATTTAACCAAATCAACCTTGTGTTTCCAGAGATAATCTCATTTAATGCATTATATAATTTACAAAAACATGAGCTTAGGGTTCAAGATAATGAATCAGTTCTTGCAAAATAAGAATTACTGCTAAAAAAAATATTTACTCAAGAGCCAGTGAATGATTTTAGTGACATTAAGCAGCTGCAAAACCACACACTGCAAAAATCCAATTTAAAGGAGAGAAAAAACTTTCATACTGTACTTTAAAGGTGTGTGGTGTCTATGTTTAATTAAATGGACAAACCAAGCCTGATTTTCAATTTGTTTGTTTTTAGGCCAGATTTGTCTAAAATATATAGAATGATGTATATATTCAAAGTTATATGATGCTATCAGCTCTGAAAAGCCCTCACCTTTGGAAGAGAAATAGACGTCACAAACTTTCTGTTATGCTTTATAGTAGGCAAAATAATACTTTGCTTTACTGCAAAATACAACTCTACAGTAAGGAGGCAGAATGTTATTTTAATAGCACAGTGTCAGTGAAAGAATTTCACAAAGGATAACCCAACAAAATACATAGCAATACACAATATCTAATGAAAATAAATGCATAACATAAAAGCACAGGTCTCAGTAAAGGTTTTTTTTTTAGTAAGAAGTTCTTTAAATGCATTTTGAAATCAATGCTATTCCCAAGACTAGATTGAACATGGCGTGTTTCTCACGGGAAAGACCAGTTTGTTTGTTCTGACCGAAGCAGACATTTCCATTTAAAGCCCTGCTAGTAATAAACTTGTTTAAGGGTTGGTAGCCTATTTGGGCCTATTTGAGAGGGTAGGAAAGAAGACACTATCTCCCCTTCCTAAAAACCCATTGGCATATTAGAAGCTAGAGATCGTTGTTATGGAGACTTAGCGACTCCAAGGTGGAACTCTTTACTGAATTTATCTTTTTTTTTCCTTTTCTCTAATCACCCTGCTCACTGTTTGTGGTGGGAAGATAAGTATGGCTCCTCCTCCAGTCTGCTGACTATTGGCTAAAACAAATGAACCTATGTTATATTTATACCCCAAAAGAAACAAATTCAGTTCCTAAAAACTGGAGCAACCCCAACCAAACAAAAACAACCTTTAAAGATTTTGTTTCAGTTTATTTTTGTTTTTTATTTTAGAAGTATCAATAAATGTGCCATTCAGGGATGTCTAAGAAAAACAACTTTAAAAAGAAATATAGGACAAACTACATAGAATATTCAGCTTAGTTATCCAATAGTGTAAATCTACCCAAAGTGAAGAGATCTAGATACAAACTCATGCTCCATTTTTTAGTTTTTAAAAATGTTATTAACCATGTTGCATTTATCACTTAGCTCACAATCAAGCACTACTTCCCATTGTCCAATTACTTG